CTCCGCTATATACCGGTTGGCCGAGGGTTGAGAAACATGAATTCCACGCGTCGTCCCGCCGGGTTAAGGATTAATAAACATATCGAGAGGGTGGCCGATTGCACAAGCCGGGATCGACGATCGGCGCAAAAAGAATCCCAAGGAGACGAAACAGCCCGTGGAGAATCGCCGGCGATCATCGAGGAGGATAATTGTGGCGATTCTCGCCGGCGAGATTTCACGGCGAGTCGGCGAAAGGTCGCGCCGATCCTGGGGAAAGGAGAGGTTCCCGTGGATAGTGGGCTCGTTCTTCTGCACCGAGCTTTCGACTTTCTTGCGGCTGCATCGCCGATGGACGCGCATAATCGAGGGCTGGAACGGAAATAATGGGGTGAAATCAAAATACCCACGTGACCGTGTTACCTCCTAACAGTGGCCATCGCCTAAATTCCATGAATATGGAGACCCTAACGGAGATCCTGACCCTAACGGAGGTCCTGACCTCCGTGACATTTCAATATTAAGAAATAATTTTTAAATGTTTATAAACAAATTAAATAACATTAGAAGTTTCATGGATGCCGGACCCTTTCTGAGAGCCTCCACGTTTACGTAATAAAGTTTCAGGCGATTCTTTACTCCCAATTCGAAGAAAAGATTTATGGAGGAGATCTCTTGGAACTTCTTCCTTCTTCACCTTTGTCTTCATTTTTTCCGACATTTTGGCCATCACAGGTATCGTAAACGGATGTCGAGAACAATTCGACCAGTCTGTAAGTGCAGGGCTCAGTGAAGGGGAGGGACGACTGCGCTTTAATGGTGCTCCCGTTGAAACTGCACTCCGAATGCACCGAAAGTCCCTCCCATCTCCGCGCGGGCACGGCCGCGAACACAGTGACCCCCTGGACCAGAGATACAGTTACTGCATTTTTACTCGAGCAGCGCCGACACGCACTGCACGCGCCGCACGCACTGCACCGCACGCGTATACGCGCTGCATCCGCCGTTAAGCGGCCTGCACATGCGGAACGGACTCGCGGACAGCCCAGCTGAACGAAACGAGGTTACCGCGGCCACGTATCCTATCCGCTAGTATATCGCTTCCTTGGTGCGCCATGCATGTGCAGAGTGCAGCGCGATGCAACTGCATCGCTCGGCTCGCCTACGCGCGCGCGGATGCACCGCGATACAGCGAGTCGCCCTTATTCCGCATTCTCCTGAGAGAACGGAAAAAACTAATTTTCCGTCGATCGCCTAATAATAAAATCAAATTCATGCCTATGGCTATGAAAATGATCTAAGTCGTTTCTTTATCGATAAACTACCATCACAATACCGTAGGATAAATATATGTAACACAATATCGGATAAACTCATTTATTATAGATTTTTACTTACTACTTGCGTAAACCCGGTACATTTATTAAGGCGATATAAAAGTAATTAATAATGGGTATTCAAAGGTTCATTTTTTTTTAATTCAAGATTCGCAGGGGGGAGGACCCTCTTTAGGACCTCCTAGGAAAATTTGAAGAAAATATGGTACAGGAATACGGAGAATAGTTTCATAAACCATTGATCCCTTAAATGAGGCTTTCGTATCGCCTTAAGGCATTGAAAAATCGCGAGTCGAGGTCGAGGGCGCGATCGCATTTGCCCATGGGGATGCACCTGGAGATGCACACGGGTGCAAGCGCATACCTGGTGCCCATTACGCAGGGCAGGGCGAGGCGCGCTTCTTTTTGGAAAGAGATCGCATCTCATCCTTCGCGTGGCGAGGCCAACGAAACCCGCGAACGTAATTACAGGAGGGGGCCCTTCTCGGGGCCGCTCTTTGAAAGGGAGAGAGCCCGGTAAAGTCCAAGTGCAAATTCCCGATCGTGTCGTAAATAACGCGTGCTCGCCGCGGCCAACGTAAAGTCCCGGAACGAGCGGCGCGTTCGCGAAAATTTACAGCCTCCTCCGCCGCGCCCCGCGCTCCGACTGCAACGGCCGCTGCATTGTTGCACGATAAACCTGGAAATGTCTTACCTGTATGGACGGCCGTACAACGGCGGTTAACGCGTCTAACGGACGCGTCGTTTCTCCGGGGTCTCCCTCCGGGACGAATTTCCGACGCGGCTCGAACGAGAAATCACGGGAGAAATAAAAACCTTATCAAACTGGATAAAATTTATTTCCGCTCACTTGAACCTCAAACGACGAGAAATAGACATTTGTACTCTTGGCAAAGAACTGCATCGTTTACAAAGTCTCGTTCTCGTTGCAGTAATACTTGGACTAACGGCAAGAATTTTACATCGGAAACCCTTCCCTAGGTGCAGGTTGCAGGCCCATTTTCAATTACCCCCCGTTTGGCTCCCTTTTCTACGATTTCCCTTTAGATTGGGAAAAAATCGATAACTCTGTAAACATTTGACCATTGTCGATGAAAAGTAATTGAGAAATGGAGTTCGGAGCAGCTCACCACGATAAGTCAGGTTATAAAACCTCGCTACGAAGTTTAACCTCCAGGTCCGACCAGATCTCCAGTCGAAGTCTCTTTTGATAACAAGGGCTCCATTTCGAGATTAGAAAAGTCCAGAGCCCACAGATGACGTCAGGTCGTCCGACGAGCCCTGGTCCAAAATGCAGGGACGTGGCCCTCGATGACGTCGTCTCCTATCTCGAGCACTCGGCTGATTTATCAGGTAACCGGAGAGCGGCGACTCTCGGGGTTCGTTGAACCGTCGGGTTCGACGAACTCTCTTGAAGTACTTTCGTTCCGGGGTTAATTAGAGTCCCGGCCGATTTCTTTCGGCGAAACTTAACCCCGCGTGTCGGCGGGCCACGTGTCGGTCGTCGGCGATGACGATGACCTAGTCCCACGGAGGACCGAAACGCGTCCAAGGGACGTCGCACGAGCTAGATTACTATTTCGCCGGGGCGCCACTTGTATCGCTTTAGTGCCGCCAATCGTCTAGTAGGCCCGCTCGTGCCCGTCGCAAATTATCGTCAGGGCCGAATGCCGATTGCCGTGGCCCCTGCTTGACGTTCCGGTCAAAAGGTCCTTTCCATTGATTTACCGTCTCTGATAGCGTTCCAACTTCGGGAGAAATACGACCAAAGATGCAGTACCAATGAAAGAATCATTTGGAAGGACATTTTTGAAAGATCTCGCAGATGAGGTCGGACGAAAACGTGTAGACAATGATGGGGTTCGCTGCAAATCGAGATGAAACGAACGAGCCCTGCACGGCCACTGAACCCTGAGCATTCCTAATTTCCACGACATTCAGGAATGCTAGGAGTTGCCGACGAGTGCCAGCTTCTTCCCTATAGAACACTGATCAGCTGAAGACGTTTTTCCCAGGGTGTCTTAACGTTTCACGTCTCGTTGCATAGCGAGGTACAGAGACAGGGCTAGATCCTCCAAAGAATCTTCGACCGGACTTCTGAAACGTTGAATTATATATCGAGATGAAGGGGATCCGGGTCTTGGTACTTACTAATCTTGGTGCGGACCACTTTGGGTCGGAATCGCTCTGGACTGAATATTTAAGAGCGGAGGATAAGTTGACTCCGTGTTGCAAGGAGGATTAAGATGGAATTCATTGGATCTTCTGGTGTCGACTAGAGTCCCGGGGCTCCAGAGCAGGGTCCTTCTCTGCTTCTTCTTCCTTTCTTCTCGCACTTAAATTAAGCCCTGTCGGCCCGGGTCGAGGCTGGTCCAGCGTCTAAGGACGCCGCCGAATAAACTAGGTGACTATTCGGCGAATCGGCGTCGCGTGCCCCTGCTTCCGTCCTCCTCGCTCCTTCCTTCTGCGTATCGGTCCGTCTCGCTCCCCAGCACGAGCGTGCATGCACCAATAAATATCACGAAACGAACGAGTGTTTAGAGTCGAAGCTCATATTGCCAGGTTCAATGAACTCGAGATGACGCGAGATATCGCCATGTTGGGAATTTATTATCTCGTGTGTCCAATGACGCTGGCCTTTTTGTGTATCGGAGGCGCAATGCGTGATCCGAACCGACTTCTTTCGATTTCACCCACTCGGCGCATGCCGAGGGATTGACAGCAGTCGCGATCGGCAGCCTCGCACTTGGCAGAGCCTTTGACAGCTGTCATGAGAATATCTTGCAGGTACGCAATGCTTCGGATAAGCGAGGATAACCTTCCTGATAATTTTCTTTGATTTCCTTGAGACAGGTCAGCCCGAATTCGACCGATACCCTTGACCAACGCCTTGTCAGCTGTCGTGATAACTCTCTGATATACTTTCCATCCTTAGTTATACATACTTTTTTTTTATGCCTATCTTCGTAATCGAAATAGATATTTTCTTCCACACCCTTACAATAAGTCACCCTGAATTCGCCCGTCACCCTTGACCGGGGTCTTGTCAGCTGCTGTGATAACTCCCTGATACGCTATCCATCCTCGGTTATATCTACTCTCGCTCGTGCCTATCTTCGTAATCGAAACAGAAATTTCCTTCCATATCCTTACGATAGGTCACTCTGAATTCGATCGCCACCTTTGACCGAGGCCTTGTCAGCTGCCGCAACGATAGCTCACCGATACGCGATACGTCCAGCGTTATATCCACTAAACCGTGAGCCAGTTCAGCGTGTAGGTACCTATCATCGTGAACCACTGACGCCGTTTATCCGTGTTTCAAGAAGTGCACCATTCTTTCATAACGGAGCTGCCACTTCGCATCAGCCTCTTAACTTAATTGCTGCCACCCGAATAGCTCCAACGGGACGTCATCATTATTACGGCATTCGCGAACTCGTGAACAACTTCGCATCGCGCTTATTGACATCGAGTTGTTCCTCAAGAATATTTCGAATATTGCACGGAGAGAAGTGACCGAAAAGGCAGATCTCGTCGGCAGAACGAAGTTCTAATCCAATCGAATCTATTAAACCTCGTCCACCGGAATACGTTTAATTCAAATGAAATTCAGCTCGACCGAAACAGCTCGGTTGGATGGAATGAAATTTCATTCGAGTTCAATTAGATTCCGTTGAAGCGATGGCACATATCCCGCTGTACGTCTGTTACATTCAACGAAAATCACAGTACGTGTACAGCGTCTGCGTCTTTTTAACGATATCGTAGTTTTTATCGTGCAACTGAAATGCTCATTTCTTTTCGCCGTTCCTCTATATGATTTTCTGTGAAAAATTCATGTGGACTTTCGGTACATTGCCACGTTGAAATTAAATGTAGTGACCGGTAAACTCGTTTAATACGAAATTGTCACAAGCAACTGAGGGTGTTTTCTTGTTTTTCTTGCAGAGTGGAAAGCTCGGCACTGCAGTTGGTGTGTCCGCTGGAGTCCCGTCCGGTGCAGCTGGTCTTCCGAGGATTGCAGGTGGTCAAGGAGAAGCGGGCTCTTCTCCGAGATGTTTCTGGGGTGGTCAAGCCAGGCGAATTATTGGCTGTCATGGGCCCTTCAGGTAACCTTCCTTTTAATTAAAATCAAAGTCCACCCCGAGGAAAGAATGTCATCGAACCAAAGAAATATTTCTTTGAGTAATGCCAACAAATATTTGCTTAACTCAAAGAATAAGTACTTTACTCAAATAAACTCGAATAAGTTGGACGCAACATTTCATCGGAATGATGATAATCTATTTGAGTTTATTTGAATTAAATAATTGTTCTTTGAATTAGCAAAATATTTCTTTGGCTCAATGGATTTTTTTTCTCAGTGCACGATACCGAGAACTAATTGAAACATACATATAAAACTACACATTACACATAGAATTAAAAATTAAAAAACTCCGGTTTCCAGATATGGTTTGCTACCTTCAAATGCTCGCAATTATTCGTGTTTAAATATGAACATTCTGTGAAGCGCAGGAGGAAATACCGTGACGATTATATTAATAGACCGAGATAGCGGGAAACATTTTTAAGGACATGGCGTCCCCTAGAGACCATTATGAGTCACGGGATTAGAGTCGTCTGCAGTGAATCATTTTGAACTGTGCGGGGTTTAGAAGAGGTCAGAAAGGAAGGAAAGGGCATACTCGGCCCCTAGTCGCGTCGTATATTGATTAGGTTAGGTTTTAATCAATCAACGTAAAAGCGAGTGAAGTTAACCTCCCGCCATGATGCGGAGAAACCTAATGCGAAGCTCAATGAAGAGAGAAATTGCTTTCGCTCTTTGCAGTATACGGATGTAAAGTACCGATCTCCGACGGTAATTCCCAAATCGCGGCAGCATTGCGACAGCAAGCTCGACGAATTTCTCGTTGACTAAGAAGACAAAGACGTCCATTTGGCATTGTTCTCCTTGTATGACGCGAACTTTGCCTCGCCGCGCAAAGCCTAAAGAACCGAACACAGAACCGCGAAAATGGACGCCCGTAGAGCGTACATAGATGCGTGAGCGATATGCACTCGCGAAGATGCACGCGTACAGAAATACTCGCAAATGCATGCACCCAGGACGCATATGCACGCGCAATACTTAGGCATTCGTACACAACAGTATGCACGGAGATATTGAACCGAGTCTACCCGAGAGCGTTTCTCCTATGTCGAAAGAAAGCAGGTGTGCCATTGCACTTATGACGAGCCAACGCGAGAATGATCCACGCTGACATCTTTGCAGGCCGCTCGGAGTCATACTTTCCTAGCATTGAACATATCAAAGTAGACCCCCACGCATATTGAATCATCCACCGGACCCATTAGAAACACCGCTCCAACGATGCATTCCTAAAATAAATTTCGAAAATGAGTCTCGTAAGTGTCATTTTGTCCTACCAGAAACGAGCTCCGTGTCGCTTAACTCGTGATCTTGTGAGTTCTGTCTTGAGAGCGCAGCATCTCGCGGTCGTTCGAAATTAATCATCCTCTTCTAGGTGATAAACTCCTACGCTAGTTGCAGTTGATAAAGGCTCCGTGAATTCTTTATTCTCTCCAAAAGCTCTTTCTACGGAATGTCAATGACAATGAGGCATACCGCAATAACAAACGGAGAAGAAACTGCGTTCGCTTTCCAAGTTCCGCAGGAATGGTGCCAGCTTTACCCAGTAATCTCGTAATTGTTTCTCAGGTTGCGGCAAGACGACGTTGCTGAATTGCCTCTCCGGCCGAGTGGGCCTGGACGGCGGTGAAATTTGGCTGAACCGCGAGAGGCTTACCAAACGATGGCGTCGACGGATCTGTTACGTCCAACAGCAGGACGTCTTTTTTCCGGACCTTACCTTGCGACAGACTTTGGAGGTTAGTTGGCTTTTCTTCGAATCCCTTCATCCCAGAACTGAGAAATGCAGGTGAAATGTCTGAACTTTACACTTTTCAAGACGATTTCTTGAAGATATCCTACCTTCATGAGAGGATAACGTCAAGGGCCTTGGTTGTCCTTATTACGGTGCACGTTCAATAATGACAACTAGTGGGACAGGAACTAAAGAAAAGTATCGACTAAAATAACAGAAAGTGTTTATGTTATCCTTACTCTTTCTTCGGTAAAAGTTTTCGACAAGCACGTCAACGTGGTGGTGTTATGGCAATCCAGGTGAATAATGCACCCCTTGGCGTTATTATTCTCCCAACGTACGCACTGTTTGACATTCATATGCAAATATCACGATACAGACGCCGAAGCCTGTAGTTCTGATTATCTGATATAGGAATAGAATTTCCCAGGCTTGCTGCAATGAGTAATACAATGTGTGGTATAATCGTAAACGTAGTAATAAAGGAAAATTACTTACTTAAAGGAAGTTAGTAATAGCTCCAGAGGTGTAAACCCTGAAATCACGGCACAAACAATGAAATAGTGCACTCCGAGTGCTCGAGTGCACCTACTTTATGTACGTAATGTGTTACCGAGTCCTTGCTGTGCTCTTAAGGCAATTCCGGTGCTATTTACCGGATCCTAATGCAACTGCATTACGGATTTCCCAGGCCAATGGCGTTATTACTCGCATGGCGCTATTGGCCGCGTGTACCATATGTGGTTTAATTGCGATTGAAGGTACTTAATACTTACCGTGGTCTCCCCATTACTCCAAGTACGACATGTGGAGTAGGTACATCTCGTGTTTTCTAGCTATTAAGACCTTCTTCAAGTTATTATCACGGAAATGTGGATGGCTTTGTTAATAGCCCCTAGATAACGTTGCAAAGAGCTGCAATGTCGGTCTTACATCATAATCGGCAAAGTTCCTGGCTCGAAATTTAACTTCGTGACTCGATTGGGTCGACTATTGATTCTTCTTCCACCTTGAGTAAAGGATAAGCGAAGAGTGCAACTCATTGTCGACGGTTAAAATTCAAATAACTTTATTGACCTCAATTCCTACTGTGAAACGTGCAACAATAAGAACCTTTACTAATCCAAGGATTTTGTGCGTTCCGCTACTTACAAGTTGGAAACTTCGAGACAATGACATCAGGGCGTACGTAACCCTAAATTGTGTCACGGCTCGGTGAAATCTCGGTTTCTATCCGCCATACTTGTTCGAAGGAGGACCTCGTCTTGCCGGAATTATTCATCGAACGTCCCGCTTGAGTTTTGCCGTGGCCCTTCGGTTGGAGAATCTAAAAGAGAACGAAATGAATACCTCGACCTTATGTTTACACGGCAGAAGATGTCGTCAGATTTATTTACTCCACGAAGGCGGACGGTAATGGAGAATAATAAAAACACAGTGTCCCCCCACGAAGATGGCTATCTAATTTCAAGATGGCCGCCACTGAGCTCTCTCGAAAGTCCGATCAAAGGATCTCGGAAATGAGAGGGCGACACCTGCGTGATATTCCTCACGAGCAGCAGGGATTACGCGATGTCGAAATTGAACGAGAATTTACCTTAGGGAAAATTGCCAAGGAGATGCGGCTTGAAATCCTATTTTCCGACGATGTTACCGGATCGGGCGATCTTCCTCATGTCGACGAAAATGAAAAAATTGGTCAAAATGATTAGTCAACATAAATAACCATTTTAGACCGACGTATAGAACCGTGGATGATTACACTCGTATTTTTAACAACAAATATTCAAATTACTCTCTCTACCTGACCTCTACCAAACCTGGCGACGAAAGATCCCGAAATACAAATTCCATATACGAAGTTTCGCCCGGTTTCGTCATTTTCGCCAGGACACGGATGGGAGAAAAAATGGAGCGTTTCCCGTTACTCCAGCCCACGTGACCCGACCTGCGCGTGCGCCCAGGCGCGTACGCCAGCGCCCGAAATCGAAGGAAGCGGTAGAGAGGAAGAAAGAGGTCGAACGACCCGAGACGAAGAGAGAGAGAAGGAGAGAGATCGGCTCCTCGAGTAGCGGAGAAGGATACTCGTAATCGCATTGGCATCTTACGATTGATTTACTACGACAGCTCGCAATCGAATCAATTGCCGCGATACGTGTGTGCGAGAACCATCGACCGGAGCGCGCGTGCGCGAGTGCCCGCGCGCGAGACTTTGTTTCTCGACGCGACCGTTACCGCGCAAGATGGTGGGGGGAGCCGGTGACGTCATAACTCGGTCAGTGAACCGTGCGTCTTACGTGTTTCAAAAACATTCGGCGCCGTCCCTCGCCGCGGCAAGACCGACACGAGCGCCACTGCGGAACGCGCTGCGGGCTGCTGTGAGCTGCTGCGAGCTGCTGCGGAGAAACCTCCGGCTATTTCACTCGAGAGAGAGAGAGAGAGAGAGAGGAGAGTTGGCCGATATTTGAAACAGTGAAACGTTTATTCCGGCATAACCTGAAGCGACCTTAGACACACTTTCTTAAGTAATTTCGTATGAATAGTAGAAACCGTAACAGCGATAAACATCGCGGGAGGAAAACCTCCGCGATTGAATAGGAGATCAAGCACCTCGCCTCGGAATACTTGTTACTATAAAACGGAGGGTGCTGCACGGAAAACTCGATCCCAAGTCTCGAGAAGAGTGAATAGAAGGAAGCGGACGTTAAACCGAATTTATATTCCTATTGGGGGAGAGTTCAAATGGAAATTGCACCGCCGCCGAGGAACCAACGAGAGGCATCTTATGACGAAGCGGGAAAAATATAAGATTTTGGAATATTACTGAAGTTCTAAAACGGATTTTTATGTAAAATGTGTACCTAGAATATGGTTAATGACACGCTTAAAGAATTTAAATGTGTTTCATTTTTTTCCTGTAACTATTTGGAAAGTGAGGGTTCTTAACATTCCGCTTTCTTAATCATTCTTCCGTTCATCGTTCAATGATAGGGTCATCGGACCATCTGCATGTTCGTTGGAGGAAACTCGGATAAACACGAGGAATTCTGAGGGAATCGCGCGGAGCCGTCGTCTCGAGGGAAAGGGACGACGCCATATTCTAGTCATGTGGAACAAGAGACTTTGGAATGCACCCTACGTGGTACTTAGTACTCATCGGTGCGCGCGTGCGCGAGCGAATGTCACGCACGCGCCTGCACGCGCTCCCAGCGATGAAAGTCCCTGCACTACGTGCCGAGCAACATGGACCCAATGGTGCTCGCATGTAGAAATCGGATCGTAACGATTACCGACGACTCTCTCGCTGCCGGTTTCCTCCTCCGAATTCCTTCGACTTTTGCCTGGCCAAAAGAAGCCCGGATAATTTTCCGAGGATTTACGCCGAGGCGGAAGCGTCGCTTCCGTCGCATATAAGGCCTCGGGTTACTTATTTTCATACCGACGCAAGGAAGTCCTTTCAAAATTGAAAGGTACCTTCTTAACGTGTCTTGGTAACGAGTCGTTATTTCGGATGATTTAAGAGACGCCAGACTGCTTTAATGTTTTACCCACGGAAATTTCCCGGTACTTAATCGTGGCTCGTAAGTTTCTTTGTTCCTGCGAATTCGAAGGAATGAATAGATCTCTTTCAAATTTCAAAACTACATTAAGGAGGGGTGATAGTGACGACGTCCTATTTAGGATAATTTAAAAAAACACGGGATTGCCGAAATATTTTACCCGTAGAAATTTCCAGGTACTCAATCGTGACCTTTCTTTGTTCTTGAGAGTTTGAAACAATTAACGGATCCATTAAATTTGTAAAGTACGTTGAGGAGGTGTGACGATGACTAGCCGCTATTTAGGATAATTTGAGAGACGCGGGACTGCCTTAACGTTTTGCCCATGGAAATTTCCAGGTACTCAGTCGTGGCCCGTGAGTTTCTTGTTCTTGCGGATTTGAAACAATGAATAGACCTCGATCGACCGTAACGAATTGTCCCGCCTGTGTAGTGCTAGGATAATTGAGATAGCAAGTAAAACCTATAATATTCCGGCGACCCAGAAACGCAACGGCGCGCAACAAGAGACGTAATCGTCTTTGGATTTCTCACGGGTATCTATCACGTTAGGAAATTTCCGACTTGCGTCGACACAGGCTATGGTTATCCAGGAAGTCGGGGACTAAATGGATAGGTGACGACTGAGAAAAAAAAAAGATATCCGTTTTCGATAACTCGCGTCAATGCGTTATTTTCGTATATTTTCCAGGAGTTTCGCGAAAGGGATTCGAGAAATCGAAATCGACGAATGAGCCGATGTCGGTTATTAAAAGTAGCCCTGCTCGGTTAATTGAGATAACAAGTCAAACTTGTAATAACGCGTCGGCCCAGAAACGCAACGACGCATATCCGGAGGTTGGTGTGTCGTAATGGTCTTTGAATTTCTCGTGGGTGCCTATCGACTAACGCCGTTAGGAAATCTCGGAATAGCGTCCACGTAGACAAACCAAAGACCATTAACCTTTAACACTTTCCTTCTGATCTTTGTGCTTTTCGTACGCTTCAATTTATTTCCATGAATCTCATCTCCATTCCACGGATTGACCTTGTGGAAAATCGTCATTGCCTTGAAAAATCATTCTCCACGTATACAAACATTCAAGCCAAACTCGTTATGCACGTAAAGAAACGCTGTTTATGGTTCAAGAAATTCGGAAGAGTTTCACGCATAATTACATATATGTACACAATGCATTTATCAAATTAATATGAAAGAAGATAAATAAACGTCAGCGACGACGCGCGTGGTCCAAGAACGCAGCGCTGTTTCAAAGATGGCGTCGTAATCGTTTCTAAATTTCTCGCGGGTGCCTGTCGGCTATCGCCGTTAGGAAATCTCAGCGTCGCGCCCACGTAGGTAAACGCACTCCGCTCGATTAGTCGGCACAATAGATGGGAGCGCCTTTCGATCAATTTCGTCCGGGTGACGGGTGGATCCGTGGCGTAACGGCAGGTTTCTCGAGGCGCCTCGCGGCGCAAGAAACGGCCGTTGTCCGCGTTGTCCATGCGAGCGACCGACGCGTGACCGAGACGAGCGGTAAACCCGTACGGATGTTGGGGTCTCCTGACTGGACTAACTGTACTCGTCCCCCGCGTCCTCTCGAAAGGAAAAGTAAATCTCCCATTTTGAGCCGCTATTCGGGCCGAGGACCACGGGACCTCCGGCTTCCATAACGGAGCTGCGAGCTCGGGAGGTCTTCCAGTAATTCTCCAAGGTCGTCGAACGTTTAGCACCTGGACGAAAAATAGAGACTAATGAAAACGACTGTCCGAGGGCCAGGTTTATACCGCAGGTTTAACCCCTCGGCTATAATGGACCTGGCAGAAGAACTGTACCACCTGTATGGACATGAGGTATCGGCCCAGGGGTGCACACGTTATTCATAAAATTGGGGAGGGTTGTTAGAGGGAGATGAGATGTAAATTGCAACGCCGCCGAGGAACCAACGTGAGATATAGGACGAAGCGGGGAAAATTACATTTTTTGGAAAATGGCTTGAAACAGATTTTTATGTAGGATGGTAAATAATTATATTAATGTGTACCTAATACTCTATTAATAGCGCGCTTAAATCGTTTAAACGGGTTTTTTTCGTGCACCTATCTGAAAATGGGTACTTTTGAAATTCAATGGATATGAGCCTCCTTAAGTGACTATCGGTTCATCATTCATTAATAGTATCATTGGAGTATCTGCATATTCAATTATAGAAAGACTGGTGAAAACGATTGCCCCATGTCCAAGGGCCGGGTTGACCGGAGGTTTAACCCCCATCTATGCTGAAAAAGAGGATGAGATTTCAATCGCAAGGAAATTTATGGAAATACTTGATCTCGGGAATTTAGAGTGGCCAGGGAGAGTTTATTTTAAGCATCCCCTGGGATCGACGTCCTTCGCGCCGTACCCCCGGCCGAGGACCATCTTACAAATCCGTCGATCTCTATAAATCGACGTAAGAATATATAGGCGAAGCCCAAGAGAATGGGAAATATGGAAAAGGTGACCCGCTAAACAGTAGACTAAAAATTGGCTGACTAATATGGCCGCCTTTCTCCTCCCTTTCCGACGCGCAGGCGTCTCCCCTGGTTTAAGATGAGACTTTTGGGCTCCGTCCATATATTCTTAGGTCCAAGGTTCCGATTAGTCAGGCGTAGAGCGAAGAAAACCACCGAAAGGAGCGAGAGGAGGGACTCCGAGACCGAAGAAAGCCGGGCTTTTTCCTGTAGAGAAGTTATTAGCCAGATGCGGCCTCGTTGTCGGCCCTCCTGCACTCGCGAGGCCGCGCGATAAATCTCGCTCCCAGGCTCGAGAGAGAGATGTCTCTCGTCGAGCCTCTCTCGCTCTAGGATCCTTGGAGATAGTTCGTAATCGTAAATCGCGGATCGCGGGCTTAACGACGGCGAGATCGTTGCCGGCGATTCGCCCCGGGAGTTATCGCGAAACGATGGACACCGCGACCGCTCGGAGAGCTAACGATGGAATTACGTTGACATTTTTAGTACCAAGCCCGGCTACGACTTCCGGATACGCTATCCCACTCGCAGAAGATGCAGTGCGTGGACCACATCATCGAGGTCCTCGACCTCGCCGCTTGCCAGGATACCAGTGAGTATACAAGCCGAGCATAAACCGATCGACGATCGACGTTTAGCTCCGACACCTTCCTCTTTAGCGGTCTCAGACTTTGCGGTCCGCCTCCAACGGACCGCAGGGTCCCTCCGTAAGGACGATTGCGCAAAAGTGCACTTTACTGCACGATCTCGGCCCGACGCTGCACCCAGCTGTTGCACTTTACGAGCTGAACCTTCGCGTCGGGCCCTTCCGACGACGCTTCCTCTCTACGACGGATTTACGACGCAAATAGAAGTATTAGCTATAAAAACTTGGCCATTAGTCAATTTTTAATAGTTGCGCCTATATACGTAACTTCTGTTTTTTATACACCCACTGAATATGTATTAAACGATAGATAGGGATTTTTAAGCACAGGGTGCGCATGGAATCTTATTTAAATGTCAGGTACTGTTGATTTATCTATTTTAGAGACTGTTAAGTGCAACAATTAAATTTTTCTAAGTTTTCATGGAAGATACCTCTATGGGCGACTGCTGTCGTGATTTTTTTACCGTGAACTTATGTGTTAGGAAAAAAAAGTGCGGTTAATGTTAATAGGTACGCCTGATTGGAAGATTTTTATGGTTATCGTTAATAAGATAGTCGGATTAATATCACTAGAGAAGTCTGATTACTGGAGTCTGGTTAAATGTATGGTTATCTTAGATTCCTAGAGTACTGTCCTAATTAATCTTTCTGATAATGTAGAGGAAAGGTTAAACTATTGGAAAGTTGATCGTCGATTAAACACTTTCGAGGCTCCTATGTTGTCTCTTGGCAAATAGGGTAAATTCGCTGCATAACACAGGGTTTTGGTGCATTTCTTTTCTAGTGGAAGATTCTGATGCGTGCAATCAAAACGTGCATAATTTTTCAAGTAAACGTCATATCGCGTACTTCCTGAAGATTGTACCAGGAGTTAGATGAAGCTCCAAACGAGAGTCCTATGTAAAGATGTCACGGAGCACAATAAGAATCTCCCACAAGACAACATTGCGAGTCTGTCCAACTCGATCCATTGCTGGACGTTGCTGACCCAAGGCATTTTCATTCTGTACAGTTATCGGCGATTACACGAAACGCGGCCTTTCTGGCGGAGAGAAGAAGAGGACGAGTATAGCCTGCGAACTGCTCACGAATCCGTCTTTGATGCTGCTCGACGTAAGGCTCTCTACAAGATTGAGTTCTGCATATAAGAATGCCCGAGACGATGGCGGATATTCCCAGAGATATACACCTAAGATGTAATCAAGATGCTTCCAAGACATTTCCTTGATAACCCAAAAACACTCCCGAAGAATGTATTCTGGAAATATTCCTGTCCGTCCCCGGGCTTGCCACTCCATGGACATTTTCAAATTATCCCCATACTCCAGTATATATGAACAGAGATATTTCATTAAATACTGGATAGTCCCTGATCATCTCGATAATTTCCAGCGAGCGTACACCCTCGTTCCGAGAAAAACTCGATACCCACGCGGTAGATCCCGACGCAATTGCGTTCTTCCTCCGCGACTTTCACCGCAAACACAATGTCGAAGAGCCGGCTTCACCGGCGATACGTGCTCGCCTGAAAACGAGGGACACCACGACCCAACGTAATCCCATCGCGAGTCGCAATGTTTATCCTCTTAATGCCCGTATTCCCGATCACGATAGCGCATGCAGCCTCTCGTTCCCGAAGAGGCGACTCTCCTCGACATCCATCGCAGCATCCATAATGCATCGAGTCCGCGGATTCGTCGAGGCAACGGCACACCGTAGATGTGCCGTTAGCCAAACAATTCGCACAGTTATGCCAATAAATCTCTTATCGAGCAATACCCGCCCAATACATTGAGTATGTCTTGGCGTGATAAAGGTGGCAGCCTAGAGATGTTTGCTCGACCGAGGTGTCTCCGCGGGCTCTATCTTGGGAAATCCGTGTCCATCCGCGATGTTCGAAACATCTTCGCGCGTTTTCACGCTCGTCTCTTCATGTTGTCGTCATGTCCCTCTTCAGGAACCAACGAGTGGCTTGGACTCTCACTCCGCCCAGGCGCTCATCTCCCGGCTGAAGAAGTACGCCGAGCAAGAGGGCAAGACCATCGTGCTGACGGTCCACCAACCCAGCTCCAGGATGTTCCACAGCTTCAGCAAGCTTCTTCTCCTGAGTCGAGGTCAGGTCGGCTATTACGGATCCACCGTCAACATCGGCAGGTTCTTCGCCACCATCGGACTGACCCTTCTCCCGCACTACAATCCCGCGGATTTCATACGTAAGTCTCGTCTGCTGAAATTCCGCGAGGGATGAACAAAGCGATGAACAAGGCGGATGGACTAACAGGGAAAACGTCATTTCAGTCGAACAGATAAAGGGGCCGGAAGAGGTTCGGGAACGCATCGTGGCTGCAGCCAGAGCCATGAGACAGGGTCCCGACTGCCCACCGGAACTTCGTCCAGAGTATAACCCCAGCCAACATCCGCTTTGCGACCATCTCATTCATTATCACGAGCATCACATTACCCACAACGGTATTATACAGTGTGCGGACACCCCGCGATAAGACCTCCACATATACCTTACGTAAAGTAACCATGAGCGTGGTCGGAATAGTTAAACGTAAGCCGAATATGCAAACCCAAAAACACGGTAACCAAAGAAATTCACGCGCTTATGACATGCACGCGAATTAAAAATTAATGATACCAGTGGTCTGTGATAAACAAAATACTCGCGTACATAATAATATATACAGCCTTGGAAAGTCCATGCTTCCAGTGTGTCGAATTTTGTTCATAAAATTCTTTTCACATAATCATTTCCATGATATTAACTGCCACACTTTTGATTCTTGTAAATATCAAACTCTTTGACCGCTAATACATTATAAAATGGCGCTTTACGTTCAATTCGATGGGCCAGTTCTTAATGCTCTGTTTATGAATGCTTTTACACAAGGTATATGTGAAGATATATACGTATCTGCGTTAGCCTGCGATTCTGCGAGATGATACGTGATCAATCTACCTATAGATATAGAATACACTAGTAAATTTGATTACGGTACTGTCGGAAAATTAATTGTCGTCGACCGGAGCGATGCGCGATTCGCGGCGAATAGAATCTTGTCCGATTGACTGTTTTCCGATCAGTACACTTCACGAGGATGCACCTCTCGCTCGGAGGTATCTCCTATCAACGGTTTTAGATTAGGTGCCGAAGAGGATCTCGTAACACCGGGTACGTTGAGTTATGATTCGAGGTATCGCGTGAACGTCCCGGCTCTCATCGCTGCTATATGTCCGAGTGCATTGTTTGCAGTGTCGCGTACCCTGTAATCGACGTCGGTGCATCAGACCTAGTGACGATGCGACGGTATCAGTAATGGGTGTTTCGTCACTGTTAGGGATCCGCGATGATGGATGAGTTATGATGGCATTACCGCTTTATCATTTCTCCTCCCTTTATATTCCGGGAAACGCTCATCCTTCTTCTAGTCATCTTAATGACTTGTTTTGATCTTGTCGCGGTATCGAATGCGCACCTACCGCGGAATATTAATCTCAGCCCCGTGTGTTACATTCGATATTAAAAATGGCTGATACGCGGTTGCTCGGTGTCGAGGTAAGCCCGTGGAATATGAACGAGGCGCGGAAATACGTAATTTATCTCCCTTAACATCCCAGATAGACAAAGTGATGCAAAATTTGAATGAAATTTGCCTCATCAAAGATCATGATATGAGTCATGAGGATGTTGCTTATGAGTCCTCATTTGGAACTCATATCTATGGTACACAACAACGAGCCAAAAACCCTTAAATATGAAACAAAGTTAAGTACATGCAATGTCTCAATGTTTGTACGCATATGTGTAGCTAAATTTATCTCGCGCATAAATTATATTGCCTATAAACAATTGCAACGGGTCGTAGCTCATATTTGAGCCATGGCGTTACAAATTTACCGCAAACTTTTCTTCAAATCTGTTGTATAATATGCGTACATATGTTGCAGACATTTCATCCAGTAAATAGTCTGCTAATTGTTTGAAAATCGACTTCCCATATAATGTGATGATAATGAATTTCTATCTGGGATCTGATATCTAATTCGGAACACATTATTAAGTACTCGGGAGCACTTCGAATCTCTTCACGTTCCTTTGTGTAAATAAGAGAGCTGGAAACAAGATTTCCCAGCCTGGGATAGCGGAGCTTCGGGAGCCCGTGGAATCGACGGAGATTGCACAGGTCGACCGAGCTCTTACTGTTTTATTACGTGCACGTGCAACTCGAACGATAAACAGGACCCGGACAATTGTGTTTACCCGTTTAAATCGTAGCTGCAGACTTCGAGACAAGTCGAGATTGAAACTCCTGCACCTGCTAGATCGAATCAAGGCTCGATTAAAATTTAACTCGAATCGGCTCACGTCTACTCGCTGAAACGCAAGCCTTCGCGAATTACCAAAGTTCTATAGTATTACCTCGACGTCTCTTAGATCCCCTTTTTCTCTAACTCACCACTAATTATTTATTACATTTAAATTTAATTTCAAGAAAGTACGTCACGTGCCGTGGTTAGAGAAAATAGGGGTGATCGTCGTAAAACTGACTGTGCTATTAAAAAATCATTGTTAAATTCAGTGGCATGCACTTTTGTATACCTCAACTTAAAAAACAAAGTTTGGGGTGTCAGAAGTTCACGTTAAATTTAACCCTCTATAACACAATTTCTTTTTCACGCCAAGAAGAGAATAATCTACCATGAAATTAGCAAACGTTTTCCTTCTAATATAAATTAACAATCCATTTATAATCAATAGAGAACTTCCTTGGTTACAATAGAGTGGGGCAGCACTGAGGCTCCGTATCAAGTTTTATTGCAAAAATCAAGTCAAACTCAAAAAATGCAAACAGATGACATTGAACCCACATACGAATATATCGATACTTTCTAAATCTACTTTGATTACTTCAGCAAAACTTAATACAGATATAACTGTTCATTATACCACTAATTTAAAACCAAGGAATCGACCCATGACTGATGAATGTGTAATCATTTTAATTTAAACAAGTGTACACAATTTCTAAATTTATAATCGAATAATTCATATCAGTAGTTTAATATCGACATATTTCGTATTGTATAAACTTCTTCTTGGCGCGAAAAAAAATGTTGGATTACAGCGGGTTAACTTTTGACGAGGTAAAGCAATCGTCTCTTTAGAAACGTCATGTTTCTAAATTATTGATACGGAGATCGTCGTTTCCGTGGATTCTCGTCAATTCTCTCGTACCAACGTTTAGTATCTTTCAACAGTGAAGGAAGACGAAGGTCGTACGCTGTGGCTGGACACCCAGAGTCATGCCAGCAGTAGCGCGAGCTCCACAGACGACGATTATTCCTGGCAGTGGCCCACGAGCTTTTGGTCGCAGTTCAAAGTGAGTATCTCGGATGTGTCCGAGGCCACCAAGGGTACGATACTCCTGGTCGACGTTGCTCCTAGCCGAGTTCCTCGAGGTCCAGGGATTCCTAGAGATCTTCCGGGGATTCGGCCACGAGACGAGTCGCTGATTTAGCGATTGGCTTGCACCTAACGGGCACCGCCATTGCGCGTGTCAAAGTCTCGCGGAGCGCCGCCGAAACAAAGGGAATGTCTGGGCTGTAGCTCCACAATAAAGAACCCGGAGAAAAGGGGAAGTAGGCCACGTTTATGCGATACGCCATATCCGGATAAGCGCTCTAACCGGTTATACTATTAACGTATAGTCACCTCCCGAGAATGAGATGTTAAATCATCTTTATCTCTTCTCTGGTAACGTCCCGCCGACCACGTAAAAGGAGTGATACAGGACAAAGAGTGGAACGGCTTCTAACTGGAAGTGCCCGTAAAATTCTCGGCTCCTTGCGGGACATTTCTAAGCGGGATACGTGGGTTAAAAGTCTTGCTCCAACGGTATGCAGTCGAACCAGCTGATGCTTCAACGTAACCGAGCACGCATTAATACGTGACGCAACGTTGTATTCGTCGAACGCAACGAATCGTGGAGGACTATTTTTCTTTTCCTCCCCTTATAATTTTTTGACGGAGATACTCTTCCCCGGTGATTTTCGGTTGGCCCGATCATTGTTCCGACTTGAATCCGCGCCCTGCTGGAAGATTTATAGCTAACGGTTAGGCTAACATTAAATCATGGCAATGGACACAATGGCGCCCCTTGAGGCGATGAAATAGAGGCCTTGCCCTCTGCCGTTGGAAAAGCCTCCATTGATATCCCTTGTTCGAACTGCTGAGATCAATTTACACGTTTCAATCGTTACTGCACGCCCAGTGGCGATATTTAGATCGTACAGAAAGGAAGTGCGATTAAATCCTTGCAAAGGGATTCCCAGGAGGAATTTTTATACATGGCGTGGCTCGGAAGAAGTTCTAATATCTCTAGACTAGTCCTTTTAACCAAGAGTGTACGCGCATAGTAACCTTTCACCCGACATGACTAAACGAGTCCCAGTAAAATTTTGCTGGTCGATCCGTGGTCGTTGTTTACTTAAAATTTAAGACCAACGACCTCGTGCGATCGCCGAAATTGACCGGACTCAGATATCACCCTAAACTGTCCAGTCTCGAGTTTTCTCTCGGGAAGATCTCGAATCACCGGCTTCGTAACTAGGATGATCGGTAACTAATCAAGCTGTTTCCTCAGGTATTATCGGAGAGGAATTTCCAAGAGGCGCGACCCCGAATGCTGTCGCGATTGAATTGGCTGCAGACGATAGCTCTGGGTCTTCTGGCTGGACTCTTGTGGTTGAGGCTGCCCAGGACCGAGGCGGCTCTGCACGACATCCAGGGCTGGATGTTCTTCAGCACGACCTACTGGATGCTGTTTGCCCATTTCGGTGCACTCTCCAGTTGTAAGTACTCTTGGAAGTTGCTGAACTCGGCGGAAAACCGACCGGGCACCTCACGAATCTTTCATGATTTTCCAGTCCCTCCGGAACGCGAGGTAATCAACAAGGAGCGGCTGTCGGGTTCGTATCGACTTTCAGCCTATTACTTGGCCAAGATGGTTGGCGAGTTGCCGCTCACGATAACACTGCCAGCAGTCTACCATATCATCAGCTACCCTATGCTGGGCTTCCATAGCCCGGCGGTCTTTGTTACGTTGCTAGCGTTCCTACTTCTCAACACGGTCGTGGCTCAGGTACGGCAATTATCCCAATTCGATCTCCAGATACCCAGATTTACTTGATATTCATATCCCGGTTTTACATGACTCACGGTGATCTTTGTAGCTATGATCGTGCGTTCCCACTCTGCACTCATATTTATCTCATAATGTAATCCAACGCCGTCATAGTGTCACATCAACGATACACCATGAGATAACTACATGACATTTAGTATACTAGTATACTTCGCACACATAAATCAAGTATTGAGCACAAAATGTAACTCAAATCAACCTATCCTACGACATCACACATCTTCACCACACAATGCAGATGGTACGATGTCAATATGGATAAATCAATCGCCTACATGCTGATTATGAGCATCTATCTGGGCACCGCTCCTCCTCCCAGGTTCCTGGGATGGAACCATCCTGCCTCGTCCCCGGAAATGCTGAAAGTTGAACCAACTCTTTACCGATTTCCTGCTTCAAATCGGGTCAACGCTTTGCGGAGACTCCAATCCGTGTCTCACCTTTCGGAATCCGTAATAAGGATCTTAACGTCCACTGATAGAGGGGCGTCGACCTGTACATGCGGTTATGAACGGCTATCACGAGGAAACGATCTGTCACCCAGTACAGTAATTACCTTTCAGCCTTTCACCAGGCACCTTTGATCCGGACGTCGGCGACAGTTGGTCATTGTTTACGGGTCGCAAAATGGATTTATCCGGCGTCCGATTAAATGTGCCCCGTCCGGCGTTCCACCTGGCGGGCGTGCGTCATTTCTGTTCACCATTTAATCACAGTCCTTGGTGTCATTCCAGAGCGTCGGGTTCTTCGTCGGTGCCTGCTGCTTGGACCTACAGGTGAGCATCACGGCGTCGGCTCTGTACACCCTCGCCACGCAACTCCTGGGTGGTTACCTGGCCACCGCCGTGCCGCCCTGGCTGGCCTGGGCCAGATACGCGAGCATGGTGCATTACGCTTATCAGAACATGCAGATCCTGGAATTCGGCGTCGGAGAGCCGATCACGTAAGTCAAGATACTATTTACGATTGGGCCCTTCACTCGCGCCGACCACTCTCAGGTATAGGTGAGCTGGATCCGTTCAATGTTGCCAGATTCAGGATTTTATACCCAGATCTTGGCGGATTTAGGCTCCTAGAGGTGCAATCTGAGATCTTAAACATCTGGGGTTTAATTCCACCTCGGAGGAAAAAAAATTTCACCTGAGGTGCGAATAAATTTGAAGTAATCAATGGGCGGATACCACGCATTCACTGAGGAAAAAAGGCATACCTCAATGCTAGCGTTGAAAGACGTCTTTAACAACAAGAGTACGAGTTATTACGTAAAAGAAACTGTACAAGAATTTCTGGGTATCTCTCCGCAAGTGGGCAGAGGTGGAGTTCAATCCTCGGGGATTTAATTCACGGGTCTGGCAACACTGGTCCTGTTTCGCCATTTTTCTCGCCACGTAGGTGCGGAGGATGTGCGAACAGAAGGAACCCGGCCTTGGGGATGCGTCACGCGAGACAGTGGCATGCGTACGGGTGTGCGGCGATATGTCGCCGGTCGTTAAATTCACAGGGCTTATGTAAGCCCCGGCACTTCCGCCCGACACACCCGGGCGCCAGGTCGACCTCGTGCGAATGGATTTCCGTTCCATCGGTGACCCGAAATCGACCCGCTTGGCGAGTGGCGTCTTCGAAAAAAAAAAGAAAAAAAAAGAGAAAACAAAAAGTTGCGATGTCTGTCAACAGGTGTTCCCATCCGAGCAAGTTCACGGAGTGCAAGAACGGGACGACGATACCCGTGTCGGCGATCCTGGAGGGCCAGAGCGGTTCCCGAGGGTCCGGCCTGCCCCTCTGGGCGAACACTGCCGTTCTCCTGGCGTTCCTGGTCGTCTTCAGGACCTTGGGCTACCTCGTACTACGTTACTACCGCGTGCCCAAGTGAGCGGACCGACGACCACGTAGTATGCAATTTTGTACACGACTTTTCACGGATCTTTTATTGTTAATTATTATTACCATTACGATGATTAATTATTAAATTACTTGGCATACGGGCGGCGCGCCCAACGGGGGCGGTCGGCCCACCATCCGAGGCCCTCGCAGGACGTCGTCACCTCTCTCTCTCTTTTTACTTCCCGCCTCGAGATCCTTTTTTTTATACGCGCGAAAAAAAAAATTCTTACCAAATACCTCGGATCGGTCCGCGAGCGTGCGCGGCCCGTATGCTCCTTAGTATTCAGCAATACAAAGTAAGGTGAGACTAAGAGACTTGACGGAGAAGGCTATATATAGAGATTTTATACGAGAGCAGGGCGAAGCGTGGAGATGCGACGAACGAGACGATAGGTTGAATTATGGCGAGGGAGGAGGAAAGAAAGGAAGAGAGAGAGGCACAGGAGATAAAGGTTCGGAGCGCGAGAGGGTGAGTGCGCGAAAGGGTGCGAGGAGTGTCTGCAAACGGTGGGTTTCGCGGGGGGGGGGGTGGGGGGTGTCTCGTTTTTGCGGCAAGAAGGGTATCAAATAATAGCAAAAAAGAAAATAAATAAAAAACAAATCGACACGGCAGGACATGCCGGAAACCGACTGAAATTTGTATGGGCGATGAACATTTATAACGCGAAAGTAGGCTAGCTCTAAGCATTAGTTATTATTACGATTGATTATCACAATCTACGATTATTTTTACTACTACTATTATTATTAATGTTATATCACGGTTAGTGTCACATACGAGTACACGCATACACGTACACGTACACGCATACACCCAGGCCACTACTAGCACTACCACCACCTCTCTACTACTATCTATTATCATCACGCATTATTACACGATTACGTTATCGATAATAATTATTATTATATTATTATTTGATTATCGGAGGTACGCGCTTTTTTCTCTTACGTTCCCTCGAGGTCGCTACGTGGAGGTCCTAGCGAACACACATTGTGCTGCCAACTTTACAAGAGAAGAAGTATCCAAGTAGATAACGCGCCGCGCTCCTCTTTCCGATAAGAGGGCGCGACCGCGGGACGCGCGCATGCGCGGAACCACTCGGGGAGGTTTTCCGCGTCCAAGTAGGAAAAGACGCGGGATTCGGGAACTCTCTCCGCAGCCTCTCCTGCGGGATGAGGCCAGGAACTGTACAGGATTAGGGCGAGACGAAGGATGACCGCTCGGCCGGTGGTTAAACCTACGACTCGCAGTCGCGTGCATAGAATTTATTCGAGGGGTACACGCATACACGCATACGCTGCGCGAACACGCGGAAGGAACCGTGCGCACGCAACCATATTTTATGCATGTGTCGTATAAGGATTATAAGCATGTTAATCGATTAACTAATAACACTAATATCATAGTGTGTTGTTATACTCCTTTCCTCTCCCGAGTCACACAGCCACGGAAAGCCAGTGTTGTTATATAAGATAAATAGTTATATTATTGCAATTATAGCTGAAGTTGTACTATTGCAATTATAACACTGTAAATCAATCAATCGAATAATGCTATAGAGACGATACCTGACCGATTCGTCGCGGCCGCGGTCGCGGAGGGTTTCATTGAATATTGTATAATCAAGACTGCTCTCGGCTGATAAGACTACGATTAATTAGGGTTTTATTTTATTTTTTTTTTTCTAATTCTCTTCGTATCGTCATTAGGATGTAAAGAAGAGCCCCTTAAAGATACCGCGGGGAGACGCGATGACAACTCGGGATCTTCGAGTCGCTCCTGGGGATGTTGACCTCAACTTGGTGATAAACCTTTACGGAGCGTTGCTGCACCGAGAAGAAAAATGTCATTGAACGAAAAAAATATTTTTTAGATTCGAGACATATTTATTTGACTCGAATAAACTAAAATAAATGGTCATATTTCCGACGAGACCGATCGATTCGAGTTTATTTAAGTGAAATAATTATTCTTTGAATTAACAAAATATTTCTTTCATTCAATTAATTCTTTTTCTCGGGGTGATGAACGTGCATTCGGGGTCCGGGAACCTGGGCGTTGTTTCCTCGTGAATTTTAATGATCTATTGTGGATCGTCGGAGCCATATTTGGGGAATTCGTGACCATCGCGTTTTGACCAATTCTTTGTCGCGGGTTACCGGAAAAAATATGATAAAAAAGCACGTCCGTCGCATCGGATCGCGACGAATCGGCCAGATACGATACTTGCAAGATCCACCAAGTGTTCAATGAGTTTGATGAAGGAGACGGGGAAAGGGAAGGGACGCGAGTCTTCGACTTTATCGTCCACTTCCCCGCGATGAGAGTACGAGGAGAGAGCGAGTGCGAGCTATAGAGGAAACCAGAAACGTAACACTGTACATCGGGACAACCAGCGCGGGGAAAGAAATGTTTAAACAAAGATTTGGCTGTGTCAACGTTGTAATAATTATTGATTTTGTATGTATCATTTTTTACTTAAATATTTAGAGAGAGAGAGGGAGAGAAAGAGAAGCATGCGTGCAGGTATGAGTGACCGACGGTGAGAGAGAGAGAGAGAGAGAGAGAAAGAGCGCCTGGAAATGCGAAAACGTGATAGACAGAAAGACCTACGAGAGGGCAGAGGAAGAGAGGAGAGATTAATACGGATGACTTCTTATCACTGTATGTGCGATCTTCGTAGAAGATAATACGGTACGCGCTGATCTACCTTTTTTTTTATCATTCTTTTTGGGGGATTCCTATATTGTCGAAAGAAATCCTACGCCGAGAACCTTGTACCCTGTTCGAAGGGAACAGCGTTGCGATTCGTCAAGGCTAAGGACGCTTTATTTGGACCGAGGGCGCATGCGCCGAAGACTGCTTAGAGGACAAGTGTCCTTTTTTGGCCCTGACGTGTCGTAACGCTGATTTTTTTTTAACGAAGAGGGCTATTTAATTGGACTTTCTTTCCTGTGTACGTACGACGGTTCGTCCTCTCGTTTGGCGACCTGCAATGGGGCGCTCCGAGATCGATTAATTTTCATTTTGTACTCCTTTATTGGTATTCCGAATTTAAGCAGGCTACGGGAGACCGCGAAGACCGCCGCCAATGTCGTGGCGATTTTCGACAAGGTCGCCACACTTTTACCAATCACGTCTTCGCCCGGAAGCTACCTTTAGAGGAGAGAGAGAGAAAGAGGGGAGGTATTTAATCGCCGTCGAAGGGCGAACCCTTTCATTCGATGTACTCGAAGTCGCGAAAGCTTGCGGAACGAGGTTTGTTTCAAATATACTCTAGACTTGAGGAAACCGACTTGTTTGAATCTCTTTTATTACTCGGTGCTTATCGATGTCGCGCTCGCCCAATACCGCTCTAAACTGCGGGCAAAACCGCGAGAAAAACGAAAAAAAAAAAGATCCAGCGAGCTTATCACCTCGCAATTCGACTGGAGCGTTAAACGCCGAATTTTTTCCTGCGCACCGCGACGATAACTGCGAAAACCGGCTTACAATTTTCACGCGTCGGGTCGGCGGATAGGATTCCAAAATTGAAAAGCTATCAGCGCCGCCACCCTTTTCAATCGTTTTATCACTCGCTCGCATGGCTGGTTCCTTCACAGTGGTTAAATGTCGTCATCTGGGTACTGTGTGGAAGCAGCTGTGAAAATTCGAGATAAAACTTTTCCAGAGCCCGGCCACGCTGAAAGCTATCAACACCTTTTTTTTAATGTAACGAGTGATCTTACTTTGTTTACATCGCGGGGCATGCATTATCATGCGCCTGTAAACTCGTAGTGGACGAAGTGTGTCGAGTCCAACCACGATTCGGCGGACGGTCTTCGTTCTATTTACCGTTGCGAGCATCGAAACGGCCACGTACGATCGGTAGGAATGAATTTCGATCCCCTTTTTCGATTCGCGACGCGTAACGTCGCGAGCCTCCGGGACGCGCCGCCAGGGCGCGCCCTCATCGGGCGTTGATACCGCGGTGAGGTTTCCTCAAAATTTTTATACACATATACCTATCGATTACGGATGCGACGAGTCGAATATTTCGAATCAAACACATATTCCAGTCTATTCGAGTCATTTCTATCGTATTTCGAATTATCGGTACGAACGAATGCGAGTTTGTCACGACGCATATAACACGCACGCTGCATTCAGGCCCATTACACGCATGTCGTGTTAACGATGCATCGATAAGCATAAGAACCAGAAAATAAAATCGAAGAACGTTTAACGTGCTACCCTATTTCAGAAATTTCTTTAGCCAGTTATTACTGATAAGCATGTGGTCATTGTCACTCAAAGTATCTATAAAGGCCTTTACCGTCAAAGCACTTAAGGTGGAATAAAAGCGACGTCCGTCTCGTTTACGAAACTTTTCTCCAAACTGGATATAACGAATCCTTTGGAATTTTTTCTACATGAACATAGAGGCTCTAAGGGAAGCCCCTGCACCCGTGAAATTTAATTTTTCTTTCTTTTAACTTCTTGTAAAAAATTAAAATCCACGGATGTCAGGATCTTCCTTAGAGCCTCCATAATCAGGTGGTAAACTTCAAACGATTCGGTACACCTGATTCCGAATACTTGCTCCGTGCGTCTTTGATATGCGGCCTGACTTATAAGTGCGAAAACGAGACCGAGTTACCAACTCGTACCGAGATACTAACTGCACGTTATTCGTTTACTCGAGTCATCGATATTCGAATCATTTAGCTCGCCAACTCGTCATAGACTTGACTCGCAAAATATACACGAACGTGTTCCTCCTTTCGCCGAGTTGTCGACTCGAATGCAACCTCGAGATGGTAATGTTTTCGAATCCGAGGGCAACTTTGAGTCGGCAATATTTCGAATCCGAGTAACTCGAGTCAACGGAATATTCGACTCGTCGCGTCCCTGCTATCGAGTATCGATAACAGCTCCGCTGCTCTGCAGCGGCGCACCGATTTATACGCTTTTACAGTCGAATTTCTACGTGCTTTCTTCGTCGGTCTTAACATATAAGCTGCCCGGAGGACTCCCACGTCGGCGAGTCCCCCTCTGACGCGGTGCATCATCCTCGGCGATAGCGCATCCGCATGCACATCCCCATTGATAACGTTAATAGGACACTCGCGGGCCGTCGCCGCGCTTTTTATACTTCACCCTTGCCAGAACTCATGCCCATCTACGAACGAACGCGCCGTCATTTTAGTCGCTGAAAGTCAACTCCGTGGCGCGAGCCCTCCTACTACAAAGTACCGATAACAGACCCGTGTTAAAATGAAAGGAAACCACCCATGACGTCACTACGAACCGCAATGACTGATACCGCAATGGTCGAGACACCGCTCCGGAGATCGGAATTCTCGGACTTCGCGTACCAGATTTTCCGAATTTCTCAAAATATAAATGAGATACGTCCGACAGATTTGTACTCTGAGGTCGCAGAGAC